TTCCTTTAAAATAAATGCCACTTAATATTTTCTATGGCATTATTTCCGTTGTACAATAACTGTTGAATCATAAGGGGGGAAAGTAAAAATTTTTTTATTTCAAAACGACAATAATCATTCAATGACGCATTTTGAGAGTTACACACTGCACTTCCCATTGCAATACAAAATAATAGTAAACATTTCAAAGGTACTTGGTGTGTGGTCACTTTCATCAGCCAAATTGAATGTTTGTTGCCAATAAATAAAGACAGAGACATAAAATATACAGAGGACAGTCGCACAGGTTAAGGTCAAAACTATGGCAAAAGTGTGGCTTATTGGGACCACTGTACAAATACAGGTAAATACAATTGCACATTGTAAGAGCTCACTGACAGTTCTGCTCAGAAACGAGTTGCTAAATAAGTTACTTCAGTCTCTCTGACACACGCACGAGATAACTTGGACACTCACCTTGCAGGTTCTCTCCATCGTTTCAACCAGTTGCAGCAGCTCGCCATCAGATTGAACATTTCACCCCAAGTGCCTGAACTGGGATTTATTATTTCATGACAGCCGTTGTGGCTGATTACTGACGTTCCTGACTGATTTTCTTTCAATTAACCCGTTATCTGCTAGTACGCTTTTATCTGCCTATCTGAGTGATTCATAAAGATTTGATTACAGACCTTTTATGTTTTCTAGTAGAGAATTAAGGACGATGTAAACTAAAAAATATAAACTAAGATACATCCTATAATTAGCAGACGGTCACTTACAATACTGACCATACAGTTTAGTTTCATTTTGCTCACTAACGTTACCCGAGCCAATGCAGCCTCACCGAAAGGCTAACCAGTTAGCTACTGGTTAGCTAACGTTACATACGATCCATTAAACTGTTAAATTACATGTCATTAGAAAGAAAATGTCATTATATAATAACTATGTATAGCGTTTTGAAACTGTCCCCGCAAATGCTTTACTCTCAATTTTAGGTTTTTTTACGGAAAAAAAATGTATTGGCATAACGGCTTGCTCGCTAGTTGTCCGCTTTGTTTAACTTACCAAGCTGAATCTGGCTGCTATGGCTGCAGCCGCGATTGTCGAGGTTGCCAAGTGTTTAGAAATTGCATGGTATAATGCAATTTTGAGAGGGAAATGCATAACACTATTCTTTTAAACGTTTGGCATGTGCTTTACTCATACAGCTTATAATTTTACACAAAGGCACTTAAAGGTACTGTCGCGATCAAAGCGTCCCGAAAAAAATCAGTACAGAAAACCTTTATGTGGCAACAGCTATGATAAACTTAACCTAACAGCGAACAGCGCCTCCCGTGGACGGAGACGCAGCAAACTAGTTCATTTTTACCACATAAACTGAGAAAATTAAAACATTATGTTGTGCAAGTGCTAACGATATACAATACAACGGCTGTTTACAATAAACCAACAAACACAACTCACCTTCAAGTTTGTTTATTAATCAGGACAAAAAAAGCTCTTTATATATAAACCAGTCACCCAATCCAATCATACACTATTTAAACTCTTCAAACATTTACAGAAGATACAAAAAAAAAAAAGAATAAATAAGACTGTTACTGTTCATCAATGGAACAGCTATAAGCATGCCTCTGTCTGAGACACAAATTAGTCCTCCCCTTACAATTTTCTTCAGTTTAAAGAGAAGTCATTTAGAATATGTCATGACAATGTTCAATGAGGCTTTGTGGCACATATACACTCCTCCATTAACAGGAGAATCTGCAGTCTTAAAGACTAGGCCTTTCCAGCAGCACCAGTTACAGGCCAACAGTTCTATAGGCTTTCTCAACCGAAGTCAAAGTCCTTCATTTAAAGACTTGATGTCTTTAATTCTTCCCAGGTGTCCACCGACTTAAACATATGCGAGTTAATGACATTTGCAAAATATGCAGTTAGTAACAATTTACAAAGGTTTACATATTAAGTCTATGAAAAATAATAAAAGAACATATTTAGAGTGTGCTTGCAATACTTAAAGTGGCCTACTAGTTTCCATCCAGTACTTCTGCTCATAAAGCACAATGTAACACTGGTAAATACCTGACCCATTGTCTTAAAACAGCCAAGTTAAACCTTTCATTAACCACCACTTAGCACACCATTTTTTGCTTTCTAGAGCAGGTATTTACACTGGCCAGAAAAACAGACCAACTCGTCTTGTAGTGTCATGGTCCTTGGTGGCCTCTCATATCCAGGAATTGAAAAGACAAGCAAAAAATGAGAGAACAGGCTAAGCACTGTGGCAGGAAGTGAGGAGAGAGTCAAAAGCATCTGTTGTGCATTTTATAGAAAGACAAACTTATTCATTTTCTAGCAAAGATGACAATCAAGTAAAAAATAGTCCCAAGTCTCAAAAGACTTTGGAAAATAATAATAATAATAATGTCAGATTTTTTAAAGAATAATTAACAGACCTTCGCTCTGAAATAAAGCAGCAGATCGGCCATAGAAGACTACAATGAGTGATAATTCATTTCCCATGTAGTTCTCAATCTAGTTCCGTTTCGAGACGCTGACAAAGATGTTAAGCACACACGTAAGAACGCTGATCGCCCACAGCAGCATTTAGCAGTTTTCTCAGTAGAGAGGCTTGCTTCTCCAAATTCAGGAGGCACCTGTTGAAAACAAAAACAAAGTATTCAACAACAAAAATTAAATAAATAACTTCAGATTCATAAAAAAAAAGGTACTTACTTTCATCATCCGAATCAAAACCAAAGAGGGATGTGCATTTGTCCTTATGTGTCTGCAGCTCTTCCTCACTGTTGAAAGACTGAAAGCATCGAGAGCAGCGCTGCCTGGTAGGCAGTTTTTCTGCCTTTGACACAGAGCCTAATAACTTTGAGCCCACCTGGGGTGCCTTCCAGCGTTTTGGCATGCTAATGTAAGACTCATCCAGATAGGCAGAGGGAAGAGGTCGAACGAATTTTTTAGTTACAGGTTTTCCTAAAACCGTTGGTTCCTGCTCTTTAATGACTGGATCTGAAGGATTGGGAGGAACAACTTTGTCACCCTCGCTATGCCCATTAACAAGGCTATGGTTTTTGCTACTGTAGTTTTGGGAACTTTTATTGAGGACCAAAGGTTTTCCATCATCATCTTGATTTGCAGGACCCTTCGAATTGGCTGCACCCAGAATTTGTTGACTGACTGAAGAATTTGCTGGTGCCTCCATATTATCTTCCTGGCTTCGAGGGGCTCCGTGCCCTGTTGATTCAGATTCTTTGGGGAATGGATTTTTTCCCGAATTTGTATCGGGTCGATAATGCATTTTCTCATGCTTATACAGGAGCATACCGCTCTCAACTTGCATAGAGCAGCCAGGAAAGCAGCACATCGCTTTCAAGGGATGATGGCCTAACATGTGTTCACTAAGCTCCATACGTGTTTGGTACCTCTCCTTGCAGCCGTAATGGTAGCATGGGAACTTCAGCTCACCTCTGTGGCATATGACATGGTCAAAAAAATGCTGAGGGTTGAATATCTTTCTGCAACAGAAAAGACATTTTTCCTTTCCAAAGTTGAAAAAGAACACAAGCGCCTTCTTGTCGCCATGGTGGTGAGACAGCACATGTGAAAGGACAAGGATTGACTTTGCACTAAATGTACATATCTCCACAGGGCATCTGACATGCGTAGATGCTCCAGTTCTTTTTCCCTGGAATGGTGTGGAAGGCTGTTTGGGTTTTGGGGGAGTCCCATTCTTATGCCCTATTGGATTTATATCCTTGAATTCTGTATTACTGTCTTTGGGTTCCTGATTCTCAGAACTGGCTTCCGGGCTGTTTGTTATCTTCCTCTTCTTTACATCTTCTCCATCCTCTTTTTGATCTCCAGGAGTAATCTTCTTCTTTTTCAGCCCAGAGTCCAGCATTTTATCTTTTCTTTTTAATTTTGTTTTGCTCTTGTCTTTTGTCACTTCTACATTCTCAGATTCAGTCTTGATATTGACTTTATGACTTTCTACACTCTTGATTTTCACTTTGCTGTCCTGTGGTAATGATGTCTGAATCTTTTCATCAAGGGTATTTGTCTCAGGCTCACTCTTCACTTTTCTTTTCTTTCTGATCACTCCATTTACCCTATGAGCCAAGTTGCCCTTGGTATCTGAATGGTTGTCATCTGGAGTTAGTGTTTGCATTGTCTTTGCTCTCTTCCTTACTAGTCCTATTCTGCAAAACTTTTTGTTCTCATCTATGGACTGAGATCTCTTTGCTAACACATGTTTTCTCTTCATCTTGCAAACTTTCTCCTTTTGTACTTCCGATGTACTTGGAGTATCTGAATTCTTAACTAACCTTGCCCGTAATCTCACTTTAGGCTCTGAACTTTGCCCTTCCCTGTGCAAATCTGTGATGTTCAAAGTACAGTTTAACCTCATTTTGATGTTTCTAAACCTATTCTTCATGGCAGGATTCACACGTTTAAACAGTCTTGTCTGGGAACGTAGCAAGGTGTTCTCAGTGGCATTCTCACAAATATTTTCATTAAAAAGCCCATTAGACTTTTTCAGCTCTTGAATGTGCACTTTAAAATGGACTGACGGGCTGCGCCCATGAGTGTAGCGTTTGTGACAGAACATGCACTTTCTGTCAATCCGATGATGAAACATTGCATGCCGCAGAATGTATGGGTATTTGGTTTCTTTATTGCAAAGACTGCAGTTAACTGAAAGCTGGCAACTTGCATCACTTGGGGGAATAAGGTCAGGGACTAGACCATCAACAGCTGCATGCATTTCCGGTGATGTCTCCTCAGGTCTTGGTGACAGCGCTGGCACCTCCATACTCTCATGCACAATTTTAGAAGAAGTGGCAATCTCGCTTTCACTCAAAGTAGCGACTGTAGCATCAGGGAGCATCATCACTTCAGTAAGAACTGGAGGAGCATCCTCATGAAGACCCGTCACGTTTTCTGGCATACTATCAGGTACAGGAATGGCATCAGCTGTGGTAAGAGTTGTCACTTCTGGTGGAAGATCAACAGTAGTATTTTCTGGAGGACTAATAGGACTGTAAGGACCATAGTCTGGATATTTGGTGTTTGCATCTTGGGGACTTGATAAGTCATTAACTTTGGGATGCTCAATGAATTCTTTAACTGGCTCAAGAATGGCTTCAGCAGGAGTGGATGGTTCCTCATTTGTAACAAGGATCGGTGTAGCCTTGATTTCCACAGCATTTTTATCCTGTGCAGCAGCTTCAAGGCTATCTGCAGGTTCACATTGTTGCTCAGCAGACTGTCTTTTTTGTTTGGATTCATTATGGTCCAGCTTAACTTCATCTTTGGGTAAACTGTTGACTGATATTCCTTCTAATTCAACTGGTCTTGAATATGTGTGGAATTTCCGCACCATAGAAAGGCCTTGCTCCCGGAAAACAATCTCCTCCGTCACCCTGAAGTCCTTTTTCCAACATGGAGTAGATTCTGCTGATAGTAACTCAATAAGAGACGTAGCACTGTCAGGCCATTTCAAATTCTCTTGAGATGCAGTTTTGTCAGCACTGCTTTCTGTCATATGAGTGGTCTCCGTGGAAAACAGTGAGGCCTGGACATCAGAAGAGATGTCAACTTCATTATCAGGGTAAGAAAATTTCATTGTGATTTCACTTAATGGCTCCTCAACTGAAATATCCTTTAAACGATTTGACTGCTTTGGTTTCCTTCCTGGTTTCTTGTCTTGTTGAGGTTCCCCGTTTTCTGCTTGGGCAGCCAACTGGTCCAAAAGCCATTGTGGTTTCCTTCCCTTGCGCTTCAGAGTGCTCATCTCTGTCTGCCGTGAAAGGAGTCTCTGGCGTCTACTATTAAGTTGCCTGGCATGATTCTTTGCCGAGTCCAATTGCCTAAATGAACGTCGAATGGGACAGGCCTCTGAATCTTTTACAAGCTGTGTCCCTGGCTTCCTCCCCCGCCTTTTGCCT